AATCACACATTAATATTCACATTAAAATTTTGTATGTACAACTTTATGACATTATTCACTACCGAATATATGAACAATCACATATTTAACATTCACATTAGAATTTACTAAATTACTACGCATATATATAAATTTTATAGTAGAATAGCAATATAAAATTGAATATATTCATATTATAATTACTACAATATTATACATATTAAATTCATAGTAGAATAGTAACATAAAGTAGTATTCTCACGTTCTCACATTAAATAGTGTTCTCATTTGAACTTAACCCTATATATATATATATATATATATATATATATATATATATATATATATATATATATATATATATATATATATATATATATATATATATATATATGGGCTTAAGGAATATGTTGCTCTCATGTATATATGGGCTTAGGGAATATGTGGCTCTCATGTACCTAAGGTTATATATAAAACTCTCAAAATAATGTAGTTTTGATCCATTTATATCCAAACTAATCATGACTTCTATTTTACTATTCTTCCTTAATGATGTGACTTACTAAATCGATTAAATTTATGTTTTTTTTTTTTTTTCTGCACTTTGTCTAAGAACTTAAAGCATTAAAAGTCGTGATCATTTAATCAACCCTACTGCATTCTAAATGAAAACTAATAGAATAAAAGATAAAAGAAGAACATGTCATAACTCAATAGAGTTTTTCACAAAATCATTAGGTATAGTTTTTAAATTCAAAGACAAAACGCTTTAGTTATATTCGTTAAAAAAATATTGGTTTTTTATTTTCTCTATTAAATTCAATAATTATTTGCAATAAAATATATATAATTGATCTTTTTCATTTTATAATTGAAATTAATTCGATAGTATTATATTAAAACAAAACTAAAATAAAATAAAATTGGATTTGTTTTGTTTCAAACTACATCGTTTAGAAGGTTTTATACCTAAGCTTAACTACATAACAACCACATATTCATTTTTCCCATGTATATATATATATATATATATATATATATATATATATATATATATATATATATATATATATATATATATATATATAACGCCCCTAGATCAGGGCTAGTCAATTTAGAGACATTAAGCGTCAAAAATATATTTTTGATGGAAGATTATTTTGAAGGAATAATCTTAACTAAGTTGTAGTATATGTTACAAGGATTCCGTACATATAAAGAACACACAAATCCGAGTTATAACGAAGAAGTTATGACCTGTCGAAGTTTCGCGACAGAACCGGCACGACACAGCGCGATGTAAATAGTGAATTTACGTTAGAGCGATATTTAGCCTTAGCGATCTAAATGAAAGTCATAGAGTTCATTAAACCGTGAGCGTGCATAAAAAGAACTTCCAAATCTGACTTTGTATTAGTAAGTTATGATTTTTCTAAGTTTCAGCTTAGTAGTATGCAACCCGAATACTCGATTTGAGATCGAGCGGTTTTTAGCCGAAACAATCTAAACGAGAATCGAAGATCTCGTAAATTGTAGTAAAATGATAAAATGATAGGAGAAAACGGACGTCGGATGAAGAAGTTATGAATTTATAACGGAGTTTTCCTATCCCGGCCTACTAAAATAATATAATAAAAATAAAATCAAAATTACCCAACGGAGTCTAAACGAAAGTTGTAGATCGTAGTCTCACCTACGCGGAAATATAAAGAACGTCGAAAACGGAGCTCGTATAAGGAAGATATGATTTTTTGAAGTTTATTAAATAATTAAAGTATTTAATTTAAATAAAAATTCGGATATTATCCAAGGGAGGGGAGTCACTGGGCTTATCCAGGTTACGCCCAGCGTACCTAAGATTATGCCCAACGTAATCGAAGGTTCCAGCCCCTATAAAAGGAAGTCGAGGTTTCCGAGTTTCTTTGCTCATTTTCTTTCCTTCTCTCGCGTTTACGCCTCGTTTTTTATGCAAGAAATATCCCGAAGCCCCGGTATTAATCCCGAACCCCGAAGCAAGTCCTGAAGCCCCGAAGATCCCAAGAAGTAAAATTCCCGAGCCGAAGCTCTGCTCGCAAGGAGCTCGGTTTTTGTGAAAATTTTCCAGGTCTACCGAAGAATACTACTTCTACAAGTCGTAGTGTTGTCTGATCATCTTCTAATCAAGTGTGTGTGTGGTTACTTTCTTCTAACACATATATATGAAGTATTTGTTATGAAATGCGTACTATGTGTTTATATATTATTGTTTATTTGAGATGAGCGTGGAATGGATGTTTTATATAGTTTTTAAATGAGTTAAATTGTATATGTATTTTATATCTACAAATATGTTGGGTAGAACATGGGTAGATGAGATAGTTGGTGTGTAATAAAAGGATTAGTATGGATTAGACCAAGAGGTTAGTTTTACATCCGAGAGTATGGATCAGGTAAAGAGATCAAACTTGTTATTAGTCTGGGAGTATGGATTAAGACTAAGTTAATTGTCCCTAGTCTGGGAGTATGGATTGGGCAGAGTTATTGATCTGGAAGTATGGATCAAATCATGATTAAGGTATAGTTAATTGTCCCTATTCCGGGAGTATGGATTGGGTACAATTATTGATCCGGGAGTATGGATCAGATCAGTAGGTTAGTTTTAGATCCGTGAGTATGGATCAAGGGAAAAGGTTAGTTTTAGATCCACGAGTATGGATCAGGTGAAAAGGTTAGTTTTAGATCTGTGAGTATGGATCGGGTGAAGATGATAGTTTTAGATCTGTGAGTAGGGATCAGGTAAAGAGGAAAATTTTAGATACTAGAGTTTAGATCGTGTCGTTGGGAGGATCGATGGGGTGGGATTAGAGTTGCCTTTATATGGTGAAATTATACAAGTTTGGATGTTCTATATTTATAAATATATGATATAACATTGTGGGATGAAAACCCTATATGCTCACCAGGCTCCCAAGCCTGACCCGCTCAGTTTTCTTTGCATCACATGTATCGATATGAAGACATATTTCACAAAGAGATTTAAAGGAGATATAAATTATTAGTGTAATTGAATGTAAGTTCTGTTTATGCTTATATGTTTGTATCCGAACATGACATCCCAAGGTTTTATTATTAAATAAAAATACATTCTCTTTGAGAAATGTTTTGATAAGTTATTATCATATCTTTTTTTGGGAACAAATTTCGCAACTGTTTTCTTTAAAAGATTACTCTGGTTTTAAAAGCAAGCATAAACAAATCGGTCTTTTCTGGCCGTGAATTTGGGGATGTCACAATATATATATATATATATATATATATATATATATATATATATATATATAAGGTGAGGTTTAATAGAGAACCATAATTAACAAGGAATCAATTAACCAATCGTGAGTGTCGGAAATCATAATTATCAACGGCCAAGGAAATAAATGTACAATTGTACATTGGACACACACACATCAGATTACATCAAAAAATCAACCTCCTTGCCACCCCCCGCCACCCAATTTTTTTCGTTTAAATTTTTTTAGGCCACATTTTATATCGAAAAAAACCCGAATATACTATTGTTCACGATTTTTTTTCTTCTTCCCATAGAGATTCATGTTGATATATAAAAAAAACTTTTTTTTTCGAAAAAAACCATTTCATTTTGTTATTTTTTTCAATATTTAAGTTAATTTTTATCAAAAAAAAAACTATTTATACCAAAAATATTCATTTTTGTACTTTATTAATAAACATCAACAACAATTAAAAAAAAAAAAAAAAAAAAAAAAAAAAAAAAAACCTCGATCAGTGTTGATTCACACTGTTAATCTCAACTCTAAATATTTCATTTTTTAATATTCACAATGTATAAAAGTTTGATTAGTTTAGATTCACACTGTAAATATTTCAATTTGTAACATTCACAATGTGAAGTTGACTTACTATTTCAACTCTTTGATCATTCGTAAATTAACTTACTGAAATTTACATATAAATCAAAAAATATTTCATTTAGTTTTATAATCACTACTAGAAAAACAGCCTTTTACGACGCTCATTGCGCGTTGTAAAAGGCTCAGACGACGCGCAAATGCGCGTCAAGGAAGACCCTGTCATAAAGAGAGATGATTACGACGCTCATTTACGACACGCGTTTACGACACGCAATGCGTATCAAGGAAGGCCCTGTCATAAAGGAAGACGACACACATTCGAGTGTCATAACCTTACGACGCGCGTGTTAATGACACGCAATCCGTATCAAGAAAGTCCCTGTCAAGAAAGGCCATGTCATAAATGAAGATCACACACATTTTTGCGTATCATAATTTTAAATGTTTAAAAAAAATATATTATTTATAGATTTACGTATTTTCAAATTAAATTTATATTTAATGTTTCATAATAGAAAATAAAATATCATATACAAAAAATAGAATCCATTGCTTAAATTTAATGTCGTACAATTCTATTTCTTACAATATATAAATTTGCATCTAATCTACTATGTACATTAATTTATTGTCATACTACATTGCTATTAAAGAACACCTTAAATCAAAATTGTAATCAGATTCGACATTTCCAGCAAAAAAAAAAAATAACAATTAATTTCTTTCTACATAAATCTGCTCCATAAGAAAACTTAAGCATACCAAGAATCTTATAATTACCAGAGGCAAAACAATTTAGTGCAGCCTTTCTACGTCCACCATCCCGTTCTGCTGTTAGATTTGCCACAATTCGCAGGTTTTTTATCTGTCCACTTGTCTGCACCATAATCATGGAAAGCATGAGCAACCTTCAGCTATAAGCCTATAAGGTGTGCGAGTGTGACACATTAATTGAAAGGACTATCATATGTAGTTATATACCTCAGGGTAATGGTTATCAAGCAAAAATCCAACAAGATTAGTACACTCAATTTTTGTCTTGTTGTTTCTAGGATGCGGACCTTCCAAAATATATGGGAAAGTTATAGCAGTTGAATAGCTATGTATGATCTTCTTCATTAGTATAGTCTCAAATTTCTTGCAATACATGCCTCAACAATCAGATGCCCCTTCCACATGGTGAAGCACACGTGCATCTTCCTCCCCTGACTCCACCCGTAATTTATGTATCTACATATATTTTTTAAACATCATTTATCCAGTCAACACTTGATCTTTAAAAAAAAAAGAACAAAGCCTCAATAGCTATCAATGTACTAATTAAAACCCATACATTGCTGAGAAATTGAAAAGCCTTCTCGATCCCATGACTCTCTTTGATATAAAGGAAAAGGTGTATAGTCTGCACATCATTAGAATGCATATATTAATTGGTGACTAATATATTAACAACAAAAAGAAATTAAAAAAAGAAAAAGAAAAAACTTGTTACCAAGCTTGATAGATCTTCCTTAATTGAGTTTTCTGAAGATGGCAATTCTCCACCATTTTCCTCAAGTTTCTCAATCAATTTTCCCGAATATAATATCACACCAAAGTTATAAAACCGTTTTAATAAAATGTTTCATGTAGAGTTAGTTGTTCCACTTCACCTTAGTTACTAAAGAGCATATGGAGACTGATATTCTCTGAATCACATCAACAGCTGCTCCAGACCTGATATTCTCTGCATCACATCAACATCTGGCTATGAAATCAATGAGTGTAACAAATATTTTTTTTACAGTTTTACTTTTGAAGATCATACCTTTGCACCACATAAAACTAGAAGATGGAAAGAGCTAGACTCCATATCCTTAACAGCCCCACCTAAGGAGATGGAGTGATCCTTTTCATTTTGATCCCATTCATCCAAATATGGAATCTCCATTTGTCAAAAACATACAATCAGAATTAAGAACAATATTTTATATTAAAAATAAGGGAAAATCAATAACAAAATGAAAGTGAAAATGAAGTGAATTGACATTCTAACTTGTTTCTTGAGGATAGAGTGCAACTTCAAGTCCTGATTCAGCTGTTGTATCTGAAATTGTTTTTATTATAGATATTTTTATATGGCAGTATTGTTTATGAATCATAATTCTGATGATGAGTTGCTGAACTTTTTTCCAGGAGGTGATTGGGAAAACAGTGAATGGAATCACTTATGCTGGACTTAGAGCAAGGACAACAGGGGCACTACAGAATCACTGGTGAGTGGAGTAAATGTTGCAGTCAACACAGATATGAACTGATTCTTAACTTTGTAAATAGCAACCTTATTGCTAACCAGAATACACTTTAGGTTGATGCATATAACTCAAAGAATTTGTTTCATTTTATAACTAATTGGAACCACTTATACTGGACTTTAGGTTGATGCTAATCTTTGTGATGCAGTTTCTATGATTGGTGATGTTGTTGAGTTTGCTAGAAAAGTGTCCTTGAGTCACGTATTTTTAGATAGGGGTAGTTTGGGAAATCATCAAGTAAAGAGAATCAGGGACATTAGGGTCATTTTAAGCATTTTATATTAGTTAGTTTGTTATAACAGATGGTATAAGAGGTTAGTGGGAAAGAGAATCAGCCAAACTATCTTTCATAACGAATTAACTAATATAAAATGACTAAAATTCCCTTGCCCTAATAAGATTTTCTTTATTTGATGATTTCCCAAACTACCCCTATCAAAAAATATGTGACTGAAGAGGGTGCATAACAGACTTTCTGAGTGAGAACCTATACGGGAGACTAGAAGTTTAACGTTCATTGAACTCAATATGGTGACAAAACAAGTACCCTTGGAACCTAATTTGTAAAACTTCAATAACAAAATTGATAATTTAAGGAGTACCAGTGGTTTTCTTAAAGAGGCAAAAACCAAAACCACGCTTCGTGGGCTGCAATAAAAAAATTGATAATTTAAGAACAGAAAATAATGTGACAAGATTTATAAATCTGTCAGAAAACTCATTTTTAGAAGCTTTTATAGTGACTTACAGGTGCTTTTGGAGGCTTCTCTAAATCTGCAATGTTCCCATCCATGTCCACAGAGGTATCCCGTGTATGACGATTTTGCCCTCCACCTTTTCGCAAGATATCTTTTGAGGTCTAATTCGGTTCAAGAAACAAGAACATAAATTAGTTTAAAAACTGAAAACAGAGAAAGATTTGTGGACTACAAAAGTGTAGAAATATAATACTGAGGAACACGAACTAGATTGGAGACAAAAGATGATAACTGCTGTGGTGGATGCTTCCACCCCCATTGCACTCGTGGGCTTGAAACAATCAATATTGCACAACACTGTCGCCTTCATCGTACCTCCAAATCTGCCATAATCATCTGCTTTTCAACAACAGATAGTGCTAATAATCAACAAATGAAGTAAACTAATAAAATAATAAACAAATAAACAAATAAACGAATCGGTCTTGAGTTTTCTGTACTTGCGCTCGGCCTTCATTGAATTTTTGACTCTCGAACAAGTAGGTTGTTAAATATGGTTTGGTCAACTTCAGACATATTGGCTTGCCCTTGATCCCTGCACTTAAAAGTCAAAGTCAACGTTCTCATTTTTTTTCTTTTACACAAATCAAGATGATTTGTACCAGGTAAATAAAAAGCTAAGTGTTGTAGATTCTTCCAGAACATTAATGATTTATATATATATATATATATATATATATATATATATATATACAGATTAAGATATAGAAAGCATTTGAACCTGATTTTGTGCAGTTGTAATAGTGGTACAATGTTGTGGTTGTGTTATAGTAGTTGAATAGTCACTTACAAAAGCAAGTGTTCTAGATTCTTCCGGAACATTAACCGCAACCGAAGGTGGCAATTCTCTCATTACCCATAACACAAAACCTGAAGGTATGGATGAACCTGGACAAACATGGCATGATGAAACTATGGATTAGGGTCAAATATCCAAAAAAAATAGCAACGTACTTTCATTCATTTGTTTATTATTACAAAATTCCACCCAATTTAGCAATGTCAACCAAATACAAAGCGATTAATTTCAGAAAACAAAAAGTAGAAGAAAAAATGGTGATTGATTTATTTAATATAATTTAAGTTACCTATGAAGTGGTAGAGAATGAGTAAAAGAGAGGCATAGAGTCCTCCAATTCCCCGCCACTCACAATGATATAGAACCTGTGAAAATGAATGAATGCATTAAATTAAGATCTTGAGGAAAATGACTGAATGAATTAAGCACAAAAATACATACGGGTATATTTGTAAATAAAGAAACAACTGAACTTGAAGTGAAACAAACAACATAAACTATAGCAAGTCCAGCAACCTGAAAAACAGAAACAAAATTGTTTGGTAGTATAGTAAAGAAAGACCTAATTACACTTTTGGTCCCTCTGTGTAATTGTAATATCGACTTTTTATTTTATTTTTTTGCATTTTTATTCCCTATATACATTTTAGGTCGACTTGCACAATGTTTAGAAATGGGTGTTTCATTGATTTATTTAATTTAGCATCATAAGTGGAAAGATAATCTCAAACGGAACAACATTAAGTCTTGATTGGAGCGGATTATACATTGTAGTCTTGGAAAGATTGATGGACAAAAGTTTATGGTTTCAAAAGGAATATGATAAGAGGCAGGTCACTGAATTTCTGAAAGCTAGAAAAAAAAATTAATTTAAAGAAACATTGGAATGATGTGAGTGTGACTGACTACTCACCGGGTATAGAGGCGGGTCACTCAATTTCTTGGCCTTTGTGAAAGATAATCTAGACACAAAAATAAATAAAAAATTGAAAACAACTGTCTATTTACCACTTCAGCATCATAAATATGAAGAAAGTTCAAAGTGTTACCTGGCTGGATAACCAAGAGGCAGCTTTGGGGAGACAGATGCAAGTGTAGCCAAAACTGTAAGTAAGCTAATCACCTGCTTATTATAATGTTAATACGTATGATTAATGAAGTACATAGCAGATCAATTCTTGATGTTTCAGTTTAAAACATCAGATCAGATGTTTGACTGCTCAAAAGGCACAGCAACCAACAGACATCCATGTAAGCTCACAATTGTTGATGTACAAAGCAGATCAATTCTAGATGGTAGGCTAATCACCTGTTTATTATTATAAGTCAAAAGTCAAACACAATAACTTTCACATAACACAAACATAGAGAGTCATTTATTTATACATTATAATCAACATACCTTTTTGAAAGCAACAATGCCCCACGGGTTGTCAAGTTGCTCGGGTTGACCCACCCATGATGACTAGACCTCCAGCTGGATCAGATTGGACTCGTACCTAAAAGTCATTGAGGACAAATCAGTCATTTTAGCTGAAAATAAAGCTAGAGCATTTATAATCAACATATATATTACACACCTCTTCCCGTAGAAGCCCTGGAACTAGGGCATACACTTCAAAGCAATCTTTCTGTACATAACACATAAAGTAAACATATGTAGAATGTGTGTTAATAATTTTTATAAATGTCAATGGTGTGATGTGACAATACACTTAGTTTCTCGCACATTTATTTTCACCCAATTAGCAGGGGGGCCACATCGGCAACCGTGGTAACAACTCTATCACATTTCAAAACAAGCAGATCTATTTATAAACACTTAAATATTAAATATTATATGATAATTAAAAGAAAGTAACAAATATTAGCAATTAAAAACTTGATTCTTAACTGCCTAGATGTTTCCGTTCGTACAACTTTCACTGGATGCTGCACTTCACTTGGTCTTTTTTGTTTAAGTGACCCTATAAGTCAAAGATTATGCAATTAATATTAACAAACACATTTTGGTGTTCTTAATGTTAAAACTAAAACATTCATAACAATTCTCACCAATGCTTTTCAGACTTTTTTCGCGCTTTTGTGAATTGTTAGAATTCTTTTCCTAACAAAAAGAAATTCGATATAAATGGTAAAAAGAAAAAAACATCTAATGTTCTCTCTAAGTTTTCTTAAGCTAATATAACCTAGAATCCATCCATATGCTCTTCTATACGTCATTAAGGGTTCAGACTCTTGGAAATGGATAAGTTGCTGAAGAAAGTTGAATTTAACTGATCACGCCTAACAAGTTGAATTTTCAACTAATTGAACCGGAATTGAAGAACCACCCAATCGCCAATGAATCTCCTAGGGACGATTATGGAGGAAACTGTAAGACTACTTCCCGAGGCATTGAAAAAAATATGAATCTTAAAACAACTATATTGAAGGGTGTTTGTAACTTAAATCTACGATCACAATTGAAAAAAATATCTGAATCACAATTGTAACTAAATGTGATCGACCTCCAAATACAATTATATTGAAGGGTATTTGATCATTTCAAATACGATCACAATTGAAAAAAAAAATATGAATCTTAAAACAACTAGGTCGGATCAAGGGATTGCTTACCTGTGGACGACATGAATAACCTCCATCAATGATTGAACTCATTCGATCCATTTAAAAGCCTACCCTTTACCAAATCGATTGAAGACGTCATATTGAAGGGTGTTTGTAACTGAAATCTACGAGATTGATGATTTTAGTAAGCTAAGTAAACAGATGATGGAGTGTTGACATGGGGAAATATGGATTCGAGCCCTAGAAGCTGAGAAGTAGACGCATCTATGAAGCGAGGTACTTGCAATCGATTTGTTGGATGTGCTGGTCTGATTTTTAAGAAGATTTTGTGTAGTCCGGAGAAAAGCGCTAGTTCTTCCAAAGTTTGGGAGGATGGATCAATGTAACGGGGCTTAGGTCGCCTACAAGGAGAAGCGAGCATGAGATCACTAGACCTGAGGTTGCCGATAAGGTGAGGTTGTTGGCAAGGTGATGTAGCCGACAAGGTGAGGCGAGGTGATCAGGTGAGATTGTCGATCGTTGTAGAGGCAGAGCATCGAGAACCGTTATCTTTCATCGGAAGTCGACGGCGGTGGGAGACACTAGGAAGGGTCGAATAAGCAGCAGATGGCGGAAGGTGAATGGAGGTTTGAGAATCGAGAGAGAAGAAAGAAAGAAAGAAAGGGGGTTTTCAGCGGGGATGAGCTAGGGTTTTCAGTTGGTGGAAACAAAGCGGGCTTTTTAATTTTTGGATTTCATTTCCCCATCGGATGAAACGCGCGTTTCATTAAAATTTATAAAGCGACATGGTGAGACGAAGCACATTTTATTTAAGGTGCCCTCCGTGTTTTTTTATTAGACACTAATTTTAGGGCACGCAAAAAATCCGCGTTCTCTATGCTTCATATTTTGGAAAACTAACATCAAATTTTAGGGCACGTACAAATGTGTGTCCTCTATCAGCGCGTGTCATTGATTGCGCGTCGTAAAAGGCTATTTTTCTAGTAGTGAATATTTTAACGGTTTCATTACTCATTAATTATTTTTGTAAAATCAATAAATGGATTTGTTCACATTGTGAATCCGAATTACTATTATTCACTGTGAATATGAGCAGGTTCACAATGTGAATTTGAACAGGTTCGCAACATGAATCTGAACAAAAATATTGATTTTTTTAATATCAATATGAATCTATGTTTAAAGAGTACCAAAAAGTATAAATTTTTGTAACGCCCTGTTCCGAATCGATTACTAATTCGAGGTTGTGGCTCGAAGAACGGTCATCATAAGGATTAGGGTCTTTTAAAAGGTAATATTTAGGCCCATTTAGATGTGGGTAATGTGGATATGTGATCCAATGGTTTGGTTTGCACTTTGGAGTCAAAGGGTAAAATGGGAACGTAATGTTTTAGACTTCTTTTATGTATTATGGATTTTAGTTCGATGTGTTTTAAGTCAAAAGTAATTAGATAGGGTTGTATAGCTCCTCAATACCTTTCCATGAATATGAAGAACGTCAAAATCGGAGTTAGAACGAAGAAGTTATGACCGTTTGAAGTTTGGGTGGTTTTGACCCAAGCTGAGTACGATGGGCGTACAAAAAGGTGTATGTTGGGTGTACTAAAGTAATCTTGTACGCTGGGCATACCAGGAGTGCTTTGGTCATACACAATCAGTGCCCAAATCCTATTTTCATGGTTTGAGCCCTATTTAAGCTCCTTAACTCCCCTAAACCCACTCCATTCTTAGCCTCCACCCCTCTAACACCCATTTCATGAAACCCTAACCTTAGATGAGCCTTGTGAGGTAAAAGAAGGTGATTTTGAGTGCTTTGGAGTATGCATGGTGCATATTGGAGAAGAAGAAACTTCTTGTAGAAGTGTTGGTTGCATTGGAGCTTGTAGATCTGGACTTTGTTCACCTTGATCTATCTTCTAGATGTATAAAGTTTGAATCTTGATGATGCATTTGTTAGATCTAGCTAGTTTTGGATGTTATGAGCTTTTTGTCATTTAGTGCATAAAGTTTAGATCTTGAAAGTTTGTGACATTGTTATGGATAAAGTTGGAAACTTTATCCATCTAAACATCATTGTAATTCATATATGAAGGTTGGAGACTTGGACTTAACGAATTAAGTTGAAAAAGATGCACTTTTAGTCCCATTTGATGCTTAAAGGCTAGATCTTGGTGGTTGGACCATTCTAATGGATAAAGTTTGAAACTTTATCCATTATGGAGCTTTTAGGATCCATTCTTGATCCTTCTATACCTTCCATGAGAGTGTCATGATGTCTTAATGGATAAATAAGTTAAGGTTTTAGCTTTTGGACCTTTTATAAACATGGGAAGTCATAAAGGTTGAAACCTTATGACTTAGAATGATGTTGTGGGACTAGATCTGAGTGTTGGATTAAAGACCTTAAGAGGTTAAACACTTAATGGAAAAGTGCCATTTAGAAAGACTCGCACTTTCATATTTCTGAAATACCCAAACTTTCATATTTAACAATATAGTTACTCCAAAACATGCTACTTGCATATTCATGAAAACAATATTTTACATTTACAAAGAAGTTACAAACTACTGGATACAAACCGACTATTTCAAAGTGTTATATATTACATAACTTCCTAGGATTCTATAGTTTTATACATATGGGAGTGCAAAATACAATAGTTTCAAACTATTCATAATCTTCTATCAATACAATAGTTTCAAACTATTCAAAAATCCTCTGTCAGTATATAACTATACTGGATGCTTATCTCCTGCAATTTGTTAAACATTGAGAGGGTAAACGGTGACGCTTAGTGAGTTCAATAATAGATACAATATAACGTTATGCTATATATATACTTCAATATGGCAGAAGAAAAGAGGAACAAGGAACAACAAGGGCATATGTGAATCATGTGTCAAACTTTTCATATCAATCATTGATTTGATTCAAAGATATAAAATCAATGAGACATAACAATTTCCATACTTGATATACAACAATAAAGCTTTGGCCCAAATGGCACAGAATACATACAACTTCATATTAACATTTTGGTAGATTTTGGGCTTATAGCCCTGTCTAACCTTCTGTCAATACCATAGAATAGAAATCATTCTCTTACGGAGACATGTTCTACATAGCCAGAGGCTACATACCAGAACCGACGTGAATCTAAGTCCTTTCACTGATCACATGGTCAAAGGTATTTCTTTGCTATTAAAAATAGCGAATAAAAAAAATAACCCGGAATAATAACACTGAATAGCACATAGCACATATAACACATAACATACAATTGTTCCTATATATTAAACTCACCATGAAATAACTGGGGGCTAAAATATTAATTTGGGCAACACTTTAGCTCTAAATATGACTTTCTTCGTTGAAAACAGGAGTTTTCTTGATAACCGAGCTCTGCGAAGGTAGAGCTTCAAAACCGAAAAGATAAAATTTGTGGGCTTCTCGGGAACTTCGGGTCGTGTTTCGGGTGTTAGAAATACTACCGGGGCTTCGGGGGAAGTGGAAGTAGCTAAAATATTGAAAAAGAGGTGAAAAAGTGTTAGAAATCCAACATTAGTCGGGAGGTCTCGCAGGCACTATTTATAGTGCGAGCCTCGGATCCAAAGCAAGAAGGAAGGAGGGCAGGTGACAGCTTCGCAGGTGGGACACGCAGCTGATGCGAGGCGTCTTAGACGTCGCCTAAGATGCCAGGCGCGTCGCATGCGCAGTGGACCTCGCTTCGGTCAAATCAGAGAAGGACACGGGTCAGCAGCGAGAAGGGGCGACGTGGCATTTCCGGATAAGGCTTATCCATGCGAAAATTCTCGAAAAATGTGCCTAAATATTCTAAAATCCATAACTTTGGCATAAGGATTCCGTTTTTGATGTTCTTTATATGCACGCGTAGGCGGGAATATATTCTACAACTTTCGTTTAGACTTCATCGGCTAATTTTGACTTTATTTTTTAATATTATTATTTTTAACAGACCGGGACAGTATAATTCGTTAAAAATTCATAACTTCTTCATACGGAGTCCGTTTTCGTCAGTCTTTTTACCGTTGTACTACTATTGACGAGACCTTTGATTCTCGTTTAGGTCGTTTCGGCTAAATATCGCTCGATCTTTATTTCGAATTTTTTGTTGTCTACCGCTAGTCCAAAACTTAGAAAAATCATAACTTTCTCATACGAAGTCAGATTTAAAAGTTCTTCATATGAAACTTCATTATTTTTACGAGTTCTACAACTTTCATTTAGATCACTGAGGCTAAAATGTAGTTTATCGAAAACTAAATTTTTATGCGACATAATGTTTGCCGGATTTGTCACGGATCTTCGATTGACCATAACTTCTTCGTTATAACTCGAATTTCGACGAGGTTTTCGCCTAAATGTTTCTAACGAGATTATCTACAACTTTCAATAATAAAATTTTACTTAATTCAAATTTTATATTTTCGTTAAATTGCACTATTTGACATTTGATTGGAATCTTATAAGACTTCTAATACTTTCTAAATGATTCTAAGCATAGTTTTACTTCATTTCTAGTAAAAACCTTCTGTTAGAACTCAACATTTAAAGTCACATAATATTTTGTAATATTATTCACTTTTATAATTTACAATACACGATAACTGAACGTGTATGTTACAAATTTGGCAGGGTACATCGGGCGTACCTTGGCTTTGAGTATGTTGCACGTACTCGTATGGGGTCCCGATTTTGGTTGGTAAGTACGCCATGCCTACAAGCTGAGTACGTTGGGCGTACTGAAGTTTGACTTCTTGACTTTGATTTTTGTTGATTGTGGACTTTTGATCAAGTTTGACCTTGGGCCAAACTTGAGGGTTTCGGCTTATTAATTAAAATTTTATCTGGTTATGGTAATTAGTGGTTTTGTGGGTGCAAGTAGTGCAGAGAAGGCATCGTGTCATAGTGTTTCAAAGCTCTTCGGTTTAGGTGAGTCTCCTCATCATACCAATGGGTCGAAGGCACCAAAGCCGACCCATGATTATGATATGTAGTATGATAGATGTCTTCATGACTCTTACGTATAACGGGTATTTACGAATGTGCTATCAGTGTATCATGTATTTATGTGAAGACCATATGGGGGTTCCCATGTCAGTTGGTTTATTTAGTTATGGTGTTTATTGAGAATGTGTTATCAATATGTTATGTATTTATGTGAAGACGGTGTGGGGGCTCCCATGGTAGTTAGTTAAGACCATGTGGGGGTTCCCATGGAAATTAGTTAAGACCATGTGTAGGTTCCCATGGCAGTTAGTTAAGACCATGTGGGAGTTCCCATAGCAGTAGGCTAAGACCGTGTAGGGGTTTACATGACACTTGTAGTAAGACCTTAGAGGGTTTCCATGACATCCTTATGTGTTTTTATGCATAGTTTATGTTGATTATATGGAGTTATGTGGGGTATGTTATGGGGAAACTCACTAAGCTTTGTGCTTACAATTTTTTTTAAGGTTTCAGGTATTCCGATTCGAAAAGGAAGGACATGGCTTGATCGCAACGCACATACCT